GGAGGGGGAGTGGGGGGGTGAGGGAGGAGGATGGGGGTGAGAAGATGAGGATGAGAGGGGGAGAGGATGGGGATGGGGGTGGGAGGAACATTAGAAGCTGGTGGCTTAAACGTATACATGTTATTAGTATTAATGGTAAAAAACGTAGGCTGTCATTTGTGTCAACAAGCACTTCATTTATAATAGATCTTTGCCAATAATAGTAAGTGGATGTTTTCTTTAACTCTTAGTCGACACAGCGAACAAACGCCCGGCCAGCAACAGATAAAAAAGTCAAAAAGCAATAATACTAGATATAATCTACACATTTCGACCATTCTAAACGAATCAAAACCCAAATTTACATAATTCATAGCAAATATAATATTGTTGTCTGCCTTTTTAATTCTAACTTTTAAAAATACATTTTAAGTCTCGAAAAAAGAAAACAGAATTGAATTAATATAATCATTGTGAATGTTATAGGGAAGTTGTGGCTTTTTAAAAATATATTTTATTTATTTCCCCGAACTACGCGTCTTCAAACGTGGAAAATGCGCGTCTTCAAAGAGTTAAAGTAGTTGAAAATACAATCATGTACTCCACTACACTAAAAAACAACTAATACAGTCATGTGACATGAGCTCTCTCTTTCCCTTTGCAGCCTTGGACCGAAGCGCTGTTTGCATCAGAGTGGATGTTTGAAGAAGCATTACAGTACGGCTACGTCACGTAAAGACAACTTTTTCGTTTTAGGAAGTGTTTTACGGCACTTTCAACACTCAATAAGTGATATTATTATTATATGTCATGTATACGAAGTGGCGAAGATCAGAGGCATTGCTAGAGAACTTTTTGTTTTTGTTTTAGTAGAGGTTTTACGGCGCTCGCAGCTGCATAAGGTCATATGAGCGCCAGAAGATTAGAGGCGTTACAAGAGAGTAACAAACGTAAAAAAGGAGAAGAGGAAATAAGAACGATAGATGTTTGATAGGAAAGAAGGAGCAAACCACACCAGAGCACCCGCCAACCGCCCACAAGAGAGTAACAAACACAGAAAAGATGGAGGAGAGATCAGGACGACGGGTGTTTGAGAGGAAAGTAGGTGCGAGACACACCAGAGCACCCGCCAACCACCCGCTTGACTTAAAGGCGCCTGTAACAGTAGACAGACGAAAGAAACCGTGTACTTTTCTCTCTCTCTCTCTCTCTCTCTCTCTCTCTCTCTCTCTCTCTCTCTCT